GTATGTCCCTGGACTGTCCTCCTCCCAACCACATTGTTAATGACATTAAGGTGAGTTTTCTTTAAAGGATTTTTTTTTTTAATTGAAATGTTTTTTTGTAACTCAGACTGGACATTGGGACACTAAGTGTTTGGTTGCTCAAAATGACAATTGCAGTTAAGTTTCTCTCTCTGAGGCTCACCCATTGGCTCGTGCTGTCCCCCTCTTTCCAATCAGACGGGCCGCCGTCGTTTCGCTGTCTGTCTGAGCTTAGTTGATGACGTCATGAACAATTTTATATTCGGTAGATGAAAACAACAAATGGGCAATTGGGTCTGCTGAGGACTGCTGTACACAAATGGGCAATTGGGTCTGCTGAGGACTGCTGTACACACAAGTTACTGGTGGCGATGTTTGAAAACTTGTTTTGTTTCAAATGTTTTTTTTCGTTCGGTGATGATGATGATGTGTTTATGTGTCCATCCCACAGAGGGAGCCTCTGACCCGAGCAAGGAGCGAGGAGATGGGCAGGAGCGTACCAGGCCTTCCAGTCGGTTGGATGAAGGTACCAGATGTTTAACTCTGTAATATGTAGAGCTATTTGGAGTAGTTTGAGATAAATACAATGTTTTTAAAGTGTATGTTTGAAGTGAGAAATACTCATTTCTGCATGCCTTCTCCCTAAAAGACTCTTCTTTCTTTTCATGTCCACCCCTCCATTTTGGGTTAGTTCCTTGACACGGTGACCGGGACCTACCGGTACTACCATTCCCCAACCAACCGCGTCCACCTGTACCCTCCTGAGGTCACTGTTCCCCAGACGCCGCCCTCCACGCCACCCACAGTCAAACAAAGACCGACGCGACCGGCTGAGCCGGACACCAGCCAAGAACAAGAGCGGGAACAGTCTAAGCTGAAACGATCCTACTCCTCCCCTGATATCAGCCAGGACTTGAGAGAAGAGGCCCAGATGAAGGCTGCCACGCCGACCACTGCCGCTGTCATACCCACCATCAACAGGGAGACTAAGTGAGGCACACGGATGTTTAACTTCAGTCCCCGCAACCGTGATACATGGACAATGTCCTGCATCTAGGATCTGTTCTCATAATCAAAGTTCAGTGTGTCCTGTTGGACTCACTGTGAAATGCATTTCCTTTAGTCTGGTATGTTCTCATTGTGCCCCTTTGCCTTTCAGACCGCCTAATAAAGTCTACTCTAAAGTGGAGATTGTGCGGCCATCAGCTGCTAAAATTCGCAACCTGAATCCTTCATTTGGAGGTCTTGGTGCATCACTGACTGGCCTTCGTAACTTGGGCAACACCTGCTACATGAACTCCATCCTGCAGAGTCTATGCAACACTCCGGGCATGGCTGAGTACTTCAACAACAATTACTACCTGGAGGACATCAACAGGTCAGTGTCGGGATATGAAATGACTCACCATAAAGATTCCTGCAAAAGCAGACGTTTGACATCTGTACCTCTGCTCTGTTCCTCTGCCAGACACAACATCCTGGGCCATAAAGGGGAGGTGGCGGAGGAGTTTGGGGTGATCATGAAGGCCCTGTGGGCTGGCCTGTACAAGTGCATCAGTCCGCGGGACTTTAAGATCACCATAGGCAAGATCAACGACCAGTTTGCTGGTTGTGACCAGCAAGACTCCCAGGAGCTGCTGCTGTTCCTTATGGATGGGCTCCACGAGGACCTCAACAAGGTAGCACACACGCATCAGTGTGGCATCGTCGCATGAATCAAATATAGAGTGAATAAGTAATATATTCCTTTTAACCGTGGCTTTGTATGGCTTGTCTTTACAATCCTTGTATGTTGCTGCCTGCTAACAATTAAATTGTAGTATTTTGTCATTTTCCTTCTTTTCGTTTATTTTCTTTTTGTTTAATTTTGAGAGCAGATTAGAGATACCTTTTCCCATGCTGTTTGAGGTGGTTCTTAGAAAAACGGGCAGCTTTGAGATACTTTGACAACTGTCTCCACCTGGGGTTGAATTCAAGTAACGCATTCACCGCAGTTTAATATTGAGATATTCACTATTCACAATTTTGTTGTCATTCAGGTTGTGAAGGCCGACTTAACAAAAACACACTGCGTTTCATTGGATTTCATCAACTTTGTGTGACGTTCAGACTGCTCAGCCCCGTCTTTGTCCACTGTTTCTCTCCAAACTAGATGATGGATCAGTCAATCTAACTAATGATATTTATTAGAAAGGGTTTACCTGCCTGTCATATCTTCATACATGTCATAATTTCTATTTGGGCTGAAATGCAAGCTAAGATGAAAAAGATCAGATAGATGTTGAATATGAAGTTTTTATCATTTTGAGATTTAGTCTGCGGTTCTTAATGCTAACTGCAATATTGTAATCATCACAAGTATGTTTATGCATCTGCCATGAGTCCTAAAGCAGCGTCCGTTGTTGTGTACCAACATTTCTCCCTCTGTGGTGTCAGGCGGATAACAGGAAGCGGTACAAGGAGGAGGAAAACGACCACCTGGATGATCAGACAGCAGCCGACCTGGCCTGGAGCAAACACAAGCTGCTGAACGAGTCCATCATCGTTGCCCTGTTCCAGGGGCAGTTCAAATCCACCGTGCAGTGTCTGACCTGCCACCGCAAGTCTCGGACATTTGAGACCTTTATGTACCTGTCGCTGCCGCTGGCCTCCACCAGCAAGTGTTCCCTGCAGGTCGGTCAGACATGAAACGTGGGCATCAAAGCCAGTTTTTCACCAGTTTATAATAAAGTCTAAGCGTGTCCTTTTAATTGAGGCAGGTAGCCACTCCAAGTAAAACAAATTTCGTTAACTGGTTTAAGGCTGTACTGAGTTTTTCTTGAAAAACACATAATGTTCCTGGGTATGAATCCTAAAAAGTAGCTACGCTGTAGTTGACTGATTTGTTCTGTTTCTTGGCAGGATTGTCTGAGGCTGTTCTCCAAAGAAGAGAAGCTGACCGACAACAACAAGGTGTTCTGCAGACACTGCAAAGCCCACAGAGATTCCACCAAGAAACTGGAGATCTGGAAGGTTCCACCCATTGTCCTGGTGCACTTAAAACGGTCTGTACTCGTGTTGGAGGAAGAGAAATGTTGTCTCTGCCTACTGATGAGCAGACGACTTCTAGCTTTTTTACTCGCTGCAGCTAAATACACACTTTCAATGTTTAGAAAATCAGTTTAGCATTTTTCTTACTGCGTGCTGACACTTTTTTTAATGAGCGTCATTTCTGCAGGTTTTCCTACGAGGGCAGATGGAAGCAGAAGCTGCAGACCCACGTGGACTTCCCTCTAGACACCCTGGACCTGGGCCAGTACGTCATTGGACCAAAGCAGACCCTGAAGAAATACTGCCTCTATGGAGTGTCTGTAAGTAGAAACTAAATTGGTTCTCAAGTATAATTCTAGAAAGAAATTTAAAAAGAAATGTATTTGTTTTATTTATATGGATGTATCCAAAAAAAAATGAAAATGATAAATGAATACATTGTGTGTGTGTGTGGCTTTGACACAATTTGTCAGCATTTCATTTATCGGTTACTATCAGGGTGTCAAGAGGATTTTCACAGAGAAAGGATGAAATCCTTGTAATGATGTTCTGTTCAGACGAGCTTAACGCTCCTCTCTTCCCCTCCCAGAACCACTACGGGGGTCTAGACGGGGGCCACTACACCGCCTTCTGTAAGAATGCCCTCAAACAGCGCTGGTACAAGTTCGATGACCACGAGGTGACCGAGATCTCCACCCCCACCGTCAAGTCCTCCGCTGCCTACATCCTGTTTTACTCGGCGCTGTGACGGAGCCGTCGGACACCAAGAGAGAATGACACACCAGAGCAGTGACACAAGCCTCGAGGTTGATTCCCTTTTTCTCTCCGTAAAATCACAGCTGAGGACCCGCTGCAGGTAGTTGCAGGTCGACCAGTCGCGTACGAGGGCGCGTCACATCGGCGAGATGTGCGGACGCACAATGCTTCAGCTACTAGAGGACCATATACCTGTTTAAAACATGCCGCCTGCTCATATTACTGATCATCTAGTGACTAAACAGATGCGCCAGTTACTCCGATTCTCGACGGTGTAGTTGTAGGGCTGACAGGCGGCTGGTGCTGTTGCACTGGACGTGGACGGCTGTGTCGCAGAACTGATCCGCTGTGTCTGCGCCGGGTTAACAGTTAGACGCCATTTTCATACTTACCAATGCTGATGTTGCACATTCAAAAATGTAAATACTGGAGGGTGAGGTGTTAATCTGTTGAGTGACCAAATTAGGTCGTTTCTTTTTCTTCATAGTAGCATCCGCCACAGCATCACGTATTCTTAATGACAAACTGTTTTAGGGGTTTAACTCTATAGCCTTTTGATGTTTAACTTGATCTGAAAGGGGAGAGGAGTCTTCTGCATTATTCCTTAAGAGAGGAGGGACTTTGTTGCGTGTTCATATTAGCCACATTGTTGCACTTACACATTATGCAATCAGTTTATGTCGTCTATGCGGAACACTTATTTGGCAGCAGACATTAATACTCGCTTTAAAACACCGATGCCGAGTCGGTTTTTCGCTTAGTTCAGGCAGTGTGGGAAAAACCTCTGCTTCTATAAACTGTTGTAGAATGTGTTCTTTGTTAAACATACGTAACTTTTTACATTATTATATTCAAAAACAAACATTTAGAGGACAAATTACTGTGATAACACCCTTCTTAGCTGACAGGTTCTGAAAGTTTCCGGGCTGCTGTCATTTAGATTCATCTGATTTCTTTCTTCAGTTCTCACCTGGTAGAATATGAAGACTTGACCTTAATCACTTCCACAAAGGCGTTAGCGGCTGCATTTGCTGTCTGACTTCTGAATGGACCTGAGATCTGAGGCGACCGGTTTGACTGCCGGAGAAGTAGAAGTTTTATAGCCAAGCATGAGATCATATCCTGTTTTCTTTTTACTTGTGCGTGTTGATTTTATTTCTTTATGCTCTAAAACAACTTCAGATATAACAATTATATAACCTCAAACAACTCGTGAATATTTATTAAAACTGCTTCAAATGACTGTGCCTGAGTGACTTTCTTCTGTAAAGGCTGTAAAACAATACCGTCTATGAACATTGCAACGACAAAACCAAAAAGCTTTGATAAAACCAGATCAAAGACGTTGAACCCGAGTCCCCTGATGGATCCGTCTGTGGCTGCAGAGCTCAGAGTCCGTGGATCTTTGGCTTTTGGAACGGCGTGCGGCTGTAGAGCAGCACGTAGGCATTGGGGGATTGGACGAGGCTGTCCCGTACCTCTCTGACCGCCGAGTCATCAAAACAGTGCCAGCATCTAGTGCAGGCGTTGTGACACAGAGCTGTGTAGTGGCCCATGTTCAGATGGCCTGTGTGGTTCTAGAAAAGGACGAATAACAATAGTTTTTGGTTTTAAAGAGAAATTGTGGAGAAACTCATTGGCCCATAAAGGATCATTTCACACAAATATGCTAATTACTTCATCATTTTAGCAAGTGCTTCACGCAGTTGGAATTTTTCTTTCATCAAATGAATCTAAACACCACCGTCCTCATCACTCTGCAAACCGTTGCCGTCCTGTGACAAACCATCTTAAAACATAGATGAAACTAAGGGAATGAACTCCATAACGTCCTGTTCTAAAGGAATGCAGTAACCTTCAAGCCAAACGGCAGATTTGTGCATATTACATAAAGTCTCTAAAGTTATATTATGTTAAATTGAGCTTCGGTACTTAAAGAATCACTTCTCATTGTAGCACAATGTATATCACATGTATGTTTACTTACCACCACAGCGTACAGGCGGTATGAAGAATAAACGGTGCTCTGCACTGAGCTGGATAGAAACGGGGAGAGATTGAGTCTGGAGGAGAAGAACACATTAGTCCTCAGTTTCACCTGGTTCCTCCCCTTACAACTAAACCTGCAGGAGAGAAGAAGATCACATTGATTTAAGAAGCTCATGTTGTGCCAAATGAACTTCCAGGGTATTAAAAGATAGTTTAATTAAATGCACTTCACTTATTCACTGAATGAAAATTACATGAGAAAGTGTCATCAAAGCTCACGAATAAAAGTCGAAACTGAACTTGGACGAAAAGTCCTTAAACATTTGCTTACGAAGATCCTTCAGACCTTTAAGGTCATTTTTATCAGTGATTATTTATGTTTCAATTCTCACGCGTTTGCTCCCAACAACTGAAGATGAATGTTATCAACCGGCTTCTCATGACGTGTTTCCTTTTAACAAACTGCTTCGGTGTCGACCCACCGTTTCAGGTGCAGCATGAGGATTTCCGGCGGTTTGTCCAGAGAAGTGTGGACCGCTGTTTCTCTCTTCAGGCCGCACGCTGAACACAGCACCTGCTCTGCCGCGGTCAGGACGGTCTGCCCGAAGAACAGCGACAGGCAGTCCTGCACAACCCAGTGAGGAAGCACACGGCAATAAATCCCCCCCAGAAAGGTGACGTGCGCACAGTGCAGAGGTGCGGAGCGGCGTTGGCGTACCTGGATGGAGCACTTGATGGTGTCTTTGGGGATCGGCAGTGACAGCACGGTGAAGCTCTGCGTGCTGCGCGTCTGGTGCTCGCAGTGCGTGCACAGGGTCGTGTAGCCCAGCTGGCCCTCGAACAAACGTGACACCATGGTGGTGGACTCCGTCGCCGCGGCCCCACAGCTCCGGTCTCGGCCTCGTCTCGTCCGCCGCGCCGAGGAGAGCACCTGGCGCCTGGCGACCTTGTGGACAGACACACACACACACGCAGACGGGTCCACTCACTCTGTGCCAGCGAGAGGCGGATGCGCGTCGCGTTTCGTGCTGCCGCACCTTTTTCAGCTCGTCGTTGAGTGCGTTGAGCAGAAAGAGCATCAGTTCCTGTGCGTCTTGCTGGGAGTAGTTGTCGAACTGGGGGAGCACGGAGCACATGACGGACCGAGCCTCCACGGGGGCACAGCTGGTGCCGCTTCCCAGCCACATCTCCTCCAGCAGGCGGACAAACATCTGGGCCACTTGGCACTGGGACCTGCTCCGACAAAGAGGTTAAGCAGCTGGGGAAGCACTTCAGTTAACAATGGCCAGAAAAGGTGTGTGTGGGGGGGCGGGGCGGGGGGGGGTTACCTTCCCAGCTCCTTGCGAGTGTCCCGATGAAGGAGGTGCTCCACGAGGGGCACAGTGGAACACAAGCACTGTAACACGGCGTTTAAGTAGCACGAGTTGCCCGAGTTGTCCAAACCGCACACTCCTGCTCTGCCCCAGCCGAGCGCTGCAGAGCTGCAGCCCGGCTGCTCCGTTTGCGCCGCCTGACCGGGACTGATGGTGCTGGTTCTGCAAGACCAGGGATCAGAAAGTGAACCCTTGTTCTTAATGTTGCACATTGCATCGCAATTAAATGGAGCAGCAATAGCTGTGAATTGAGTATATTTTCATTTTGGATGGAATTGAATCATAATTTTAAAAGTTTTTTGAAAGACAAAAACAATAACCAGCATATAAATTATAAGTCACAGAGTCACAGAACTTCTGTCACAATGATGATAATTATCACTACATCTTACACACTGTGCAAGATAATTACATCAACTGTGACTTAAGTAACAGACCCAAATCGTGCTTTTGTCCTAGGAAAATCTATTTTTGCGTCTGTTAATGCCACATTGAGTCACTCCGAAATGGTTTCAGCTGAACTCAATTGAATTGAATCCACAGTTGGCTTTGATGCAAATATATTTTTTGACATCAAACTCTTTCAAAAATAGAAGTTATCACTATCTAATACTGTGCCGGCCACCAACAGCTTGAATAGAAACACTAACAGAATAGAGAGAACAAACCTTTGCTTGGAATGATTTGCGAAACCCGTCTCTTGGCACGAGCGGCTGTTTAGTTGCGGCAGGACGGGCACTGTGACGCTGCTGTCCTCGGCCAGCCTGCAGGCCAGAGTTCTGGTGAACTCGGTCAACTGGACCTGGTTGGCTGAGCCCCCCCTCTGCAGAGAGTGCAGCGTGAACGTGTTGATGCAGATGACGTGTAGCGTCACCCAGAGGCCTGGCAGAAACACGTCCGCCGCTGACCCCTTCGGGTCTGAAGAGGGAAACAGAGCAGGTCCGGTCCAGCCCTGCAGGTGGGCCTCTCCTGGAGACGGCGAGTCCTCCGCTGGGCATGGGAGCAGATGGTCCACGCCTGGTGGGGACGAAGGTGTTCTTTCAGCAGTTGGGGCGAAATGAATATCCGCCCCTAAGCCAGAGAAGACGCCCGTGAGCCCCGACGCAGAGGCGTCCAGCTGAACCCGGTGCCTGTGGCCGCAGAACGGTCTCAGCAGGTATCCCACCACCTGCTCCACTACGGTTGTCCTCGTCTGCCTCTGGAGTCGCTGCGGGCAATACAGATACATGTTACAGATGAACCCGGAGCTCGTGTCGCAGAGGAGGGCGAGGTGCAGAGCGCAGGGATCCTGCTGGTAGGAGAGCCTGTACTTCTTCACCACCAGGTCGTGACCGGGCGTGTACAAGGCCCGGTAGCGCCCGGTCAAGTGGCTGCAGAACGCAGAGAGGGCGTCCAGCTTGTCTCCGTCCTCCAGTCTGGTCAGGGACAGGAGGTCGTTCTGGAAGCTGTTTCTCTTCAGGACCCCCTGCCACCCGTCCAGTTTCAGGGTCAGCTCGGAGCCGCAGCCACGGCCCCCCCCCACGGACAGGCCGCCCTGGAGCACTATAGAGAACCAGGTCAGCGCCTCGGCGTACTCCCCCTCGGAGAGGTCCGCGCTCTGCTCCCTGCTGCTGCTGCTGCTGCTGCTGTGGTGGGACGGACGGCTCGGCCCTCTCCTCCGGACCAGCTGCCGGACGGCTCCTCGGTCCAGAGCTTCCAGCAGCAGCTCTCTGGCCGTGTGGTACACCTGGTAGGTGGGGCCGGTCCGACTGCTCGCCAGCGGCTTCACTTTTTTGGACCTGAATATGTTCGGTAGACAGAAGCTGTCCTTCGGGGGGTCTCCGTGCAGCTCAGCGACTGGGCGGCACTCCTCCGACGTCCAGGTGCACTCCGTCACTGACAGAGCCTTGACCTTCATCTTCTCGCCTCGCCGCTTGGCCTAAGGGAAAGACATCCGAAAGCATGAAGACCACAAAAAAAGCTTGTCGTGGTGGTGCGGCTCCTAACCTGATGAGATCGATGATGGAACGAGAAGATATCCAGTGGTGCTCTAGTCCCACTGGCTGCGGGATACTGTGCGAGCTATACGTGTGCTGTATGTGCGTCTGTGTGGATCTGCTCTCGGGTGAAAAACACTGCTGTCGAGTTGAATCTCCAGAGATCCACTGTAGCCAGACAACAGTGTCGTGGCCAACTATAAACACAACACTTGAAGCACAGTGGGTCTTTTATTCTTTTACGTGTTTGTCTGGACGAAGAGAAACCGACCAAGACGTTCATTGAAAGTGGTGTTTTTTTTATCAGTTAGCTTCATAATGTAACTAATCATTTTAAGTCTTACCAAACTTCCACACACTCCTTCAGATGGCACTTAGAATATTTAGTTTTAGTGTAAGAAATGCAGCAGCTTGTCTCCCAGATCCCGCCCCACTCCACGCAGCAGCCAATAGGATACGAAGTACCCGCAGGTATCAGGGGCTTCCTGTGGCTCTGCAATGGAGTCATTGAGTTCCAGCCCTCACATGCATTTTTATTTTGCAGGTGCGCTGAATTGGCCGTTTCTTTGCTGGAATGTTTTGCTGTTTGAGTGACCTGCCACTTTTATCCGTTAACTCGTTTTGATCTACATCTAAATAGAAATTGGAGCATTAAAGCAAATTGTATTTTAAACAATAGGTCAGTACCCTTGTTGTGAATTTGTTCGCTTTTAACTGTCTTAAAACTGCTGTTAAATCACATAATCATGTTGTGGTTAGTGTTCTGTTCTCCCTCTCTCCATGCAATCCCTTGCTGGCTCGACCACCAGTCTCTCCTGTGACGGTCTTCATTGGACGCCATCTTCCTGTCACAGCAGCCCATCAATCTTACGTGTTTGTTTACGCATTGCTCCGTTTCACCCGGCACGCATTGAAGTTTTGTATTATTAGCCATGTACAATAATCTTTATTTGGGAGCTGGTAGTTAATCTTCCTCCCCCTCCTTCTCTCCCTTTCTCGCTCGCTTGTTGAGCCCAGAAAAAGGGGCGAACTATAAAAGCTAAACAAGGCTACAAGTATACCTTCCAATAAAACATGACAAAAAAAAACAACCGAATCTTGTTGCTTTTAGCCAATGCTGTCATACAGGGAGGCCTTTCTTTCTCGACTGCCCATAACATCTCTACACATTGTAGCCTCGGGACCGGCCAGTACGACGCATGGAGACCAGTGTCGGGTTTGATGGTTTGATGCAATCTGCCGGTTTCCCACCAGATATCAATGTAAATCACACAGTGCTCCTTTTAAATGTAATAAATCAATCCTCAAACAGCAGCTAGAGAAAGGAAAGCATTGCTCATTTTGACATGAGTGTAACATTTTTAGAAGCCATCACTAAGCCTCAATGCTGATGGCAGACACCAGAATGTCCACCGTTATAAAATAATTTTAAAATGATCCTGCGCATCAATTTTTACCTGGAAGATAATGACAATACATAACATTAACACGGTTTGAATGTATTGTGCAGCACTGGGGCGTCGTGACTGTCAGCGGGGGTAGAAGAATCACGCCATTACTACAAAGGTTCCGTAAGCTCTTTTGCATAAATCGGATCCACTTCTCAAAATATGTTAATCCATCAATATGAAAGGACATCTTCTTTCCTTCAGTGCAACCCTTGAGCTTCACTGCCTTCTAATTTAAGACCCATTCATTTACTGTGCCGTGTTCTTATCGCCCACACATTGGATAAGAAAACACACGGGAGGATTTTATTTCATGTAGGAGTCTCGAGAAATAAATATCTGGGCAATATTTTGCAGTGAAACACCACTCAGATAATCTTGTGGAAAACAAGAATTCCAGCACCGGACTCACTGTTTCTTGCGGTTTCCCTTCCAGCTCTTTAGCGCTGCGCGTCCCTCTGATTCACGTCCAATGAGCTGGGTGGGCGCGAATGTTCAGGGAACATTACTGCGAAAGCCAAGCGACATATTCATTGAAAAACTATATTTTACACAAAATCGGTAAAAGGTGGAGACCAAATAGATTTTAAACATACACACATTCTTTTGCAAAGGTAATGAATCTAGAATCATTTAGTACAGAGCCAAAGACATTGTAGGATAAGCTGAACTTTTTAAAGTCAAAGAAAAAATGAGAAAAAACGTCATAGTAAAAAAAGTTATAGTATGTCCAAAAACGTATAGTATAGTTAATCCGTTTAAGTGAATGATATTAGTAAAATAAAAGTCTAGTATAGCAAGTTTGCACAGAAAGTAATTTCATTGTAGGACTTAGTAAAGTGGAAATGTATCTCTCTCCGTTTGGAGGTTGCATCATGCATTCTGTTGCACTAAATTAAAAACACTGTATTACATGCAGGTCTTGAATACTTGAACAAGCCTTCAGAATGACACGTCTGTGAGGCCACTAGTTCACTCATCTTAACGTGTCATGTGTGCACTGAAGGATCGGTCTGTGACTGGATCACATTTAATTTGTCCTTCAACTGCCATAACCTATTTGACCATTTGAGGGCAGTGCAAACAAGTTATAAAACAGAATTGGTAAATCATCATGTTGTTTAGCAGAACATTACCTCATTGACTTGCCCAGCAGTCATGAAGCAACATTATTATTCATCTCTTTTGGTTTCCATCAACTCCCGAGGGACTTATCCATCATCTTCATGCTCAACTGTTTGTCCCGAGCACAGAAGAATCTAATGAGGCCAAAGAAATCGAATGCCAAAAACTGCATGAGCCTATAAAATACCACGTTGATGGCCTGGACTGTCTGTGACTTCGGCGCTAAACAAAGCTTTGAAAGTGCGTCTATTTATAAAAAGGTACTTTGCGTTCTAACTGCAGTACACAGCTCTGGATATGGACACACATCCTGACGCACAATGAGCAGCCTCAGGTTGCAGCAGATAAACGTTGGAGGTTTTACTCTACGCATGAATGTCAACCTGCCCGACGGACGCCAAGTGGCTCAACGCCACCACAGGTCGCTTCAGTCCTCCATTATGTAGCAGCTCCATCAGTCCCAACATCGGCTTTTAATTGGCCTACCGGGAGAAGGGAAATCCGGCGGCAAGGGGCGGCGCACCTTGCATCAGAGCGGGAGGATGGAGCGGCCTGTCGGAGGGGAGGATGAAGCCTGCGTAACGGTGATGCCAGTGTCGACATATGAGCAGAACAGCCGACAATTACATCAGAAGCATCGCAGCATTCTGTGGGAGAGCGAAGTTTAAAGGAGGACACGGGCGGCGGCGGCGGGAGTGAAACTAGCACGCGGCGCTGTGATGTTGACCTACATTTAGTCCTGAGACGCTCCTTTGATTCCGTCACTTGGCACAAATCGAGCACCTCGGCTTCCTTCGGGGTTTAATCTCGTCACAGGATTCCATTGTTAAGAGGAAAGCAGAGAACAATATAACATTCCTCCGAGCAGGGAGAAAAAGCCGAGACTCGCTGTGGATGATTACGGTCCGACCTTCCCCCTCGTTGGCTGCTGAACGGTCACATGTTGAGGCCTCAATAGCAACATTTCAATATGCTCTTCATAAAGATGGTTTTGCTCAATACCTAGTTTAGATTGAAGCATATTTGACTTCTACTTGAGAATGTTAACTGCTTAGAATGAGTTATTGCGCTTGGTTGGTTTTGGTCCGATCGGCATCTGCTCCAGTTCCCTCTCAGGCTCGTAGCGCTTTACGTTCCCAGTGAGGGAACATTTAGTGGCGTCACACCGGGTTACATATTCTGTTGACAATGAAAGGACCCGTTGCCATGTAATCCTGCTGGTTTCTCTACATTTAGCTGCGGACTCAGTTTGTGTAATTTAGTCGGCCTACTTTGACACTAAAAGTCGAGTCGGGCGGCGTCAGCGTTACCTCGCCACGAACAAAATTAACTTAAGCGGGTGCGGGAGGTCAGACATTCGTCCCTGACCGGAGACAAAGGAGACACACAAGCTAATCTCTTTGCCAGTCATTTTATTTTGAGATATTTTGTAGAACAGGGGAACCAATGATTACAAAAGAAGTCCGTAAGTGTTCTACATGCTACACCGTAAACCTAATTTATCATGCCTGCCTGGAAAAGTACATAGAAATAGAACAAAAAAAAAGTACAATTAAAACTGACATACTTTATACTCACCATTAACTTTAAATGTACCTTTCTCTTGCCTCCATGCACGCACTTCTTTTTTTAAACATTAAGATAAAAAATTAAGACTTTTAGGCGCTTCTTTAAACCATAAAGCAGTTTTTCCGTTGAAGACAGAACGCACCTATAAATAAAAAATAAAAATGAACAAAAAGAATGATATCCATCTGGATAATATTGGTGGAAAATGGAAAGCCTCAACTTCGTTTAGAACATAACCGATGAAATGTGCATCCTACCGTAGAACAAAAGAACACTTGATGAAACGCCCATATAGTGCCGAAATGAAAATGGAAGTCTGTCCAACTCAATCTTCAATAATCACATTGAAAGAACACATTTTGATAAAATAAATATCGCACATCTGCTGGAAATAAATAATGATTACTGAAACACCTGACTATGTTAAATGCTAAAGTGAGACAGAGTTCATCTACGCGACCCGGCGGTCATGTGTGTAAAGCACTAGTGCGGCTTCGAGTGTCTCTCGCGGCTGTTACCTTGAGGTAGATAACACATTTACATTAACGCCTTCGATAATGGTTGCTGCTGGCATCATGTGTCAGATTTACAGTATGATAGGGTTATTTTGGAAGCTTTCTTCAGGGAAACAAAAAAGAAAGAAAGTTCAAAGTCAAATGAGAAATGTAAAAACAAAAACACATCCAATCCCCTTTTCTTCGTTTGTATCCCTCCCCAGGAAAGGCAATGTTAGTGTGGAGCCTCTTTCCTTCTGTCAGACCCTGACAACGCCTCTCCTAACGTCCACCCTTATTCTGGTTCCTTCTCCTCTGCTTTCCGTTCTTCTACAGTACGTAAGTGTGCAAGTGACATGCCAGTTAAGCAATGAGGACGTGGACATTGACCCATGAAGGCCCGGTGACCAAGGCTCAGAGTGATGACCAAAGCTCTTTAAATATAATAAATCAACCCCCTCAATTCTTAAAAATAAAATAGAAAACCATAATAAAAAAAGGTATGAAATGATTCAAGTTCAATAATATACCGTATAATTAAAAATAAAAAAAAGAAACTGCCTCGATTTTGCACTGTGTCTGAGGATATATACATTTCTTTAATTAAGATGCTTGAAGATGCTTGACGATGCCCACGTTTTGTGGGCAACCTGCGGGGAGCATTTGACGGCGCAGGGGGTGAAAAGACGCCTGGATGGATTTCAGAGGCAAGTCGTCGGTGCTGTCAAAGACGGGCAGGGCCAGAGAGTCCAGCTGAACGTTAAGGACAATCTCTGAGGTCCTGCCAAGGAAGCTCTCGTCCAGCTCTCTCACCTCCGAGGGCTCCGTCTCGGCGCCGGCCACGGTGTCTGCGGCGCCTTCTTCCTTCCTGCTGAACAGGTGGTCCAGGTAGCTGGTGTACGTGCTCTCCTTCTGGAGCTGGTCCTCTTTGCGAATGTCCCAACATGCCTCGTCGATCAAGCAGCCGTTCTCGCCGACTCGCTCCCCGGAGCCGAAGCTCTCCCAGGGGCAAGCGGGCCAGGCCCCGTCCCCGACGCTGCAGCCCAACCCGCCTCCGCCCAACTGGGCGAGGTTCACCAGGCACTTCTCCTCCTTCTCCTGACTTATGGACTTGGACATGGACAACGAGCATGAGCGGGCGGCTTCCAGCTGGGAAACGGAAGAGTTGAGTTCGTTGAGGAAGCCCACCTCGTGCAGGAGGACCACCTCCTGACAGGGCTCGGGCTGCAGGCTGAGTTTGATGGTGCTGGCGATGAAGGAGTCAAAGTCAAAGCCTTGGCTCTGCTGGCCTTGGGGCTTCTCCGTCAGGTGTTTCTCCTGCTCGCGGTCCTTCTCCACCGGGCTCTGGGTCTTCTCGGCCCCCTGCATGGCGATCTGGGCCTTCACCAGCCCGTTCTTCTCGCACTTGCTCTTGGCCTTGCCCTTCTCCTTGCTCTGCTGCTCCTTCCAGTTGGAGAGGTCGATGATGAGCTTGGGTTCGTAGTAGTGGTTGACTTCACTCTCCCTCCAGACGAGGTTGTCCAGGTAGGAGGGAGACACGGCCTTGTAGTTACAGGTGTGGCTACACTGTAAGTCACAGTATTTGTTTTCATGGTGGTCTTCCTGCCAGGATTGCTCTGGCTCGAACAGGGTGGAGTAGTCAAAGGACGGCTCGTCCAAGAACTTCTCCCGATCTCCATCAGCATATTTACGAGGATCCACCTGGAAACAGAAACAATTGCATACAACCATTAACTAGAGCATCTAGTATTTAGTAGTAGGTCTGCATATAAACAAACGTATAAAATGCCAATCAACAGAAGAGTGTGGCGATTCAAACACACCTGAACCTCCTCCTCGTCCGTCACATCAGAGAGAGCCCTCGGGTCAACCTGAACTTCATCTGGGTCGTGGGTGCTGTGCAGGTGCCAGTCTGCCTCTGACAGTTGGCTCTCATGATACCTGATACGAGTATAAAAGAGACTTCAGTAAACAGACCCAGACCGCATTTGGGAGTGCGGTCACAAAGCGCATACCTGTCCCAGGTGTGGCTGTGGCTCTGGTCCATGAGCACGATATCATCTACTTCGTCCTCAATGTGGAAGGGGTGCAGAGAGACAGGTTCATCGAGGGGGAAGGAGTAGTCAGCCATATAGGGGTGGGCCAAGGCTTCCTCCGCAGTCAGACGATCCATGGGGTTAAAGGTCAGGATCTTTTCCATGAAATCCAGGGCTGAACAGAGGGAGGCCATCGAGATTATCCAGCGAGAAATGATAACCATCCTCTGGTCCGTGTTCATGGCGGTGTGTTGATCATGTGATCAACTTAAAATCAATGAGGAAGTGGTGCTTACCCTGGGGACTGACGTCAGGCAGCAGCTTGGCCAGCGGTGTGTGAGGCTTGGACATGTCCTTGCGGCTGAAGACGGGGATGACGCTGTGGAGCTCCTGTCGGTCTTCCTCGCGCAGTACGGGGATGGACTCCAGGATGAGCTGCATCTGCTCCAATTCGTGGGCTCCTGAAAACACCGGACAGACAAACAAGAGTGACTGTCGTTGCAAGGGTTACTCAACATTTAACGCCATGACGGAGTTTATTTTGGATGAGGCTGAGCGCAGCACATCATGACAAACAGGGACGTTGTTCGTCTTGTGTTCCTCTCAAGGCAATTTCAACAGAGCAGTCACACGCACAGCTCCAGCTGTATATGCAAATGGGAGCAATAGGGATATTTGACGCAGACACACTTTGGGCCGAGCTCTGAGCAGAGATATTTAACTAGCAGGATGAACATATGACTCAGACCTGTGCGCCATATTTACCGACTGAGTCACCCAGTCTGGTTCAGAAGACGTACGTTTGTATGAGGTGTCACAGTGAGTCAGACAAGAAACCAAGTCAACATTTACCTGCAAAGAGGGTTTTCCCTGTGAGCATCTCCGCAAAGATGCAGCCTGCGGCCCACATGTCGATGGCTTTGGTGTAGTTGTTAGGAGACAGCAGCAGGCGAGGAGACCTGTACCACTTTGTGACCAGACCTTCAGAGAGATGGCCCTGTGTTTAGAAGGGGACATGGCCTATTTAGTTGGACTCCCTTTTTTTCCATTTTTAGTTACAAAGCATAACGGACATCTTTTTAAATCCAGTGGTTCGCTAAAGGCTATCAGTCTCTGAAACTAATTTCCCTCAGTAGTGGATAAAATGATCAGGACTTCCCTGTGCATCCGTGTGCCACATAGCACTGCTGCCAACTCAAGTTCAGAGAAGCACCCGCGCCTGCTGCTCCGCGCCAAACTTATTAACCTCTTCTGCAGTTTAAGGCGGACCTGCTCGGTGCTTTTCACGCACGCAACACAGCGTGCAGACAAAGAACCCGGAGAGAAGAGATGGATGAAAGGGAGGGAGGAGGGGAGGGGGGGTCAGACACACGTGCAGGACCTGTCAGCAGTCTGAGAGCAGCATAATCCCCCCTGCCACACTCTCCACAGACCAGTGACACCAATCTGCACTGCACTCAAACAGAGCCTGACTACTCAGATAGCAGGTCACAACACACACACACACACACACACACACACACACACACACACACAGTGGAAACTGACCTGCACACGTACACGGATATTGGGGAATGGGTAGGAGGTAAAACAACACCCGCTCTGCCCTCTCTCCCCCCCCCCCACACGCAGCGGTAGTCCGCCGTGAGACCAAAAAGGTCGGCTCACCAACAAGCTAGGCTTTAGTTTCTGCCCCAAGTTAGCTGCAAATACTTCACACTATCCTTGTGTATCACTACGGTGCACACTCCGGTGCCATAAATGACTCGCCGTGTAGGCAGCATATGAGACTTCTTCTTTTGAGTAACTCAGTATGAGCAGTGGCTTTAACAATAAAGCTAATCAGGAGAGACAGGAATTACAGAGCAGGTCACATCACGGACTGAAACTCACTAAGCAGTTCAGCATTCATTCTGAGAAACAGCCATACGCTTCTAGACATGCTTGATTGTTCTCACAGTGGAACATATATAGTGGAAAACTAGTTTAACAGAATTGCAACATATTCAGATTAGGTTGAAAGGGTGCCGGGTCATGGCATGAAGACAATTCTGTGTCGGATGGACTCTGACCTACTAAAAGGAGCAGATTAGTTAGCCTGCCAGCTGAGGGCATTAAAGTGCATTAGCTGAACAATCCGGGTCGCCGCTTACTTTTACTGATCTCTGAGGGAGCCACGAACCACAACAGAGAAGCAGGAATTAAGCCACAAGTCGTCTCAATACCTCCGGCAACAGGTGAATAGCTTCGGCTGATCTAGATCAAGCAGAGCAGACATTTAGTGGTTTATCACAGTGACCTTTACCACGGCAGGCCAAATGTCAGCAAAGTGGCAGTGAGATCATCGCCGACACAGCCTCCAATGTCAGGGTGAAGCCGCGCCGCGTCGCAGAGGCAAGTGACTGAGGACGCGTGATAGCCTTGACCCGTGCAGCGACACACGCGAAGAATTTCAAACGCGAAAACACTATAAATAGCAGGCGATGGCGCTTCACAGCAGCGTCACCACACATAGGAAGACATTGTTCATCAATTAACCCAGTCACTAGAATTCCTGCGATGTTTGCGTCAATGATAACTTCCCCCATTAGTTGCAAGAGACTGAAAGTATTCTTACGCCTGCGTAAATAAGTGAAACCACGTCTCTGAAATTCATTACGCCGTTAGTCGACTCCCCAGCCCGTTTCCAGTTAGATCACGACATGTCTGGTGCCGGGAAGGCCCGGTGCTGGCTGAATATTTATGTTGTGTGGAGAGTTTGTGTGGAATAAAAAGACCTCTGTGAACCTTCCACCCGCTTCTTCTTAAAACATTACAGAGTGCACGCGCGTTATCGTCGCTTTGCAATGGATCGAATTGAGACATTCTGGTGTAACCTGTAAAAAACAGAACTAATTCCTGCTCGAAAACACATAGCAAAGACAATTTTACTAAGACGCATGTTAAATAGGTTACACCATCCTGGAGTAGTTAAAGGCCTGAGTTAACCTGGTTAAGACCAAACTACCGTGCCTGAATACAACCGATACCAATCCTAAGTGGGTGGGTACTCCCTTTCTCTTGTTAAAAAGCTTCAAATGAAGCCTCCCACAATAAGAAAAGGCGCTGGGTGGGAAACAGGGGAACCAGGGTTGGAAAGTTGGATGAGGGCACGTGAATTCTTGCCATTCTTGATTCTGGGCCACCACGAGGCCCGGCCTCAAGGTTCACATAGACCTGCTTGCTCAAAACAATGGCCATGTACAGTGTACAGTGTGCTTGAAACAATCGTTTGGGATTAATAAAATCTGTTTTTGAATAAACCCAAAATGAGTGAGAAAAAGGCAGAACAAATGTGCCTAAAACACTGGTGCTTAAATCCAGACAACGCATTACAAATACCAGCGCACACAGTGAGGTCCACTGGCAAAGAGCCCTTCTTTATTTAGAAACAACCTTATTCAAATAACATGCACTGGGCCACCCAGCTGCCTCAACTCACCCCTTCTACTAGAAGGAGAGGGGGGGGGGGGCTGTGAAAGCAAATTTGCTCCCCCTGATTTTGCTGTGATGTCTGGCCAACGCTGAAACCATCGCCTGCGCACTCCACTGTGCACCAGTGTCATTTAGGAGAGATAGTTTAGGCCTGAAACACCAGACGTACGTACAGTCAACCACATGAATACAGGCGCCCTGAAAAGGTGTCCGGGACACCGGGGTCAAAGCCTATCAAAGTCAGTCTGACTACAGCAGTTTTATTCTTGACAAAAACGGAGCAGCAGTAGTGTGACGCAGTGCTACAGTACACAATAGCCAAACGCAGCAGCGCTGACCCCTGCGAAGCAGCTTTTCAATACCCACTTGCCTGCATGTATTGCATCAGGAAAAACTGCCTATGCAGAGGGAAAACAGCCCACATGGCAAGCGCCGCTGAAAGGGAGGAGTGCAGCAATGACGGGCGGTTGGGTTTTGTGACTTAACTGTGACAAACTCACTTCTTCCCGGCAGCTACAAGGCCTCGCCTTCTTCTTTCTATTGCAGAGATAGTCTCAGGAAAAACATGTGACTCATGTGGAAATATAAAGCGCTGCGCTTGAAATGTGACGCCACAGAAACGTTTGGTGGTGTGCTGGAAATCAGCAGTTTTGGTATAGGTGTGTGTAGGTTTGTCTCAGAGCGAACCCAGGCAGTGTGCGGGAGCAGAACGAGGCTTAGCTGGCCCCAGGGATTGGATCATGTGACCCCCCCTTATGAACTCTCCAATGACTAATCTGAGACATAGATAAGTATCTCACTGTCTTTGTGCTCCAAAAGAGATCCAGCAGTTTAAAAAAAAGAGACCCTTCACAATCTACATCACACCACATGGCCGTCGACTAGAATTTCCCGATCTCTTTATAAGGGGACAGAAACACGAGAGGGAAAGATGGGCCTTCCACCAGGCTCCAATTAAGACAGGACCATCCATACTCCTCTCACCCTAAAGACAAACGTAACCTCACTTTACTGCTACGATTACACAGCACGACAAAATACATTATGGGTTTAGGGAGCGCGTTCAAATATTTACATCGGGTGTGTCAGCAGCTGGCTTTTAATGCACTCATTGGCCGAGTTTGCATCATGTTAGCATCTGATGAGACAGAGAAATGGTCTGTAACACAAATAAAACAGCCCAACACCAAATATGCTTCAATCTCACAGGCGTGAAAATTAAGCAATGATGCTCTCTCTCACTCTCACACACACACACACACACACACACACACACACACACACACACACACACACACACACACACGAAAGTTCACGGCTGAACCTGCCGGTTTTGCAAAGTTCTACATTTGAATATTTTCAACAAGGATTATCTTAATCTTTGTTAACTAAAATATCATGAACTCACTCGTGTGTATATTTAGACTTGTAATGGAGCCCCTTTTCAGTTCAAACTTTATTCCACCCAAAAAGTTCCCACGGCTGTTCTTTCTTCAGCCTCACTTCTCCTGACAAAGGAAATACAGGCGGTAACCTCGAGCAACACTTCCCGTCTTGTTCACTTCCTGCTGTGCAACTGTCTGGTTGGTGGGAACCACGTCACTGGGCAGAAACCAACAGCATGCTTCAAAGCAACAAAGCACTCGACTTTGGGAAGAAAATGTGCAAACATTTGCTCCATCTGCTCTTAAAGCTTTTGTCTGAACAGTATTCCAAATCCAAAGTCTTGAGAAAACTCCCTAAAACAAATAAATTGCATTCTCAAACAACACTGAGACAGCCATCCAGGCACTGGCCTACCTTATGAGAATAGTGTGGATCCATAATGCGGGCCAGACCAAAGTCCCCGATCTTCAGGACCAGGTCCTCCGTGTTGACAAACAGGTTGGCAGGCTTGAGATCGCGGTGCAGCACGTTGGCAGAGTGGATGTACTTGAGGCCCCTGAGGAACTGGTACATGAACAGCCTGGCATGGTCCTCAGACAGAAGGCCCCTCTCCAGCAGCTGACACAGGTCTGTCTCCATGTACTCCTGCACAATGTAGACCGAGTTGACCTCTGTCAGAGACACCACATCCTCCGTCAGCCTCCGTCCGTTGGGGCCCAACGTCTCAAACACCTGGAGAGACAAGTGGTTTCAGTGTCACGGCAGTTTATCCCAAAATTGGAAATACACTTTTTTACCTGACTCCAGAATCTCAATATAAAGGATCTCCTCCCTCTGGGTCTTACCTTCACGATGTTGTCGTGGTCGAGGCGTCTAATGATCTTGATTTCGCGCAGGGCATGCTTCACACTCTGGGGGTCCGTCAAGACAATTTTCTTCACAGCGACACGCTTGTCACAGTCCGTGTCGACCGCGGAGAACACCAGGCCGTTCCCCCCGTAGCCCAGAGGCTTCAAGTCCATGTAGCGAGAACCCAGGTCAAAGCCGTGGATGTTCATCAGCGACTCAAACTTCTCCGCCATGGCGACTGCTTCCGGCTATCACACCAAGATTGTGCAAACTCTGAAGGGTTGGTCTTTGGCCCCTTTCTAGTTCAAGATTAACACCGACGGGGTAATTAACATGTAAATCCCTCCACTGCTTCAGCGGCTGAGCTATCTGACCCCTGTATGGATGACTACTGAGTCCCCCTCCCTACCTGTCACTGTCGGATTTGGGGGAAAGATGTGTGGGCAAACTTTTGTTCCATCTTGAGTAATGGGAGAAAAATAATAATAATAATAATAATAATAATAATAATAATACAAAACTAGTTTGGGTATCTTAAACAGAATGGTTTCAATAAACTAATGAGCATATACTGCAATGGAATGATTTTTAAGGCCAATTAAAAAGCACTCAGACTATAGTAAACTATAAAAGTATGTAGTTGCATCCTTACAGTGCCGGTGCATTCAGTGTTTGACTGGCCCTGAGCAGCTACATGCGTTTGTTGTTGATTATAATTATGTATCTGTCTGTAATTCAAACGTAAGTCAAGTCACCTGTAAAACTGAAAAGGATTCTGGCCTGTGAGTCTTCAAAGTAATGTTTCCCCCTCAATGATCAGGTGGCTCAAGCTCGCCACAGTCGCAATCAAAACCGTCCTCCATTTTACCAGGGTACAACCTAAGAGACGAGAGACACAAACAAAACAAATCAGGGGAGCGACTCTGCGTGGTGACACAACGGAAGGGTCGTTGTCCAACATCGCTTACTGAATATGTCGGGGATTTCACAGGATCACAAACACTCACACTCATCCACCGGCTTTGGGTTAAACGTGGTGTCATTAACGAAACCAAACTCTCCCTCGCCCGGTTCAGACGCCCGCTAATCAGATTTAAGGGTATAGATAAAATAACAATACGATATGACAGACTTAGTTCAGGTCAACAGTGAGCAGGCTGCTTATAACATCACACGTTGAAGGAAAAACCCGCTTCTCCTCAGAGCTTTCAGACGGAGTCCGGAACGGAAACATCGCGGCGAACTGACAAGCTAGCTGCCGAGAGACAGTCCGTCTATTCGGCGTTATATCACAGAACATGTCCCGCTGCTAGCGCACACATCAGCCTCAATACGGGGGAACTGTGATTCCAACAAACCCTGTTCGTTTCATTCGCTTTTAAACGCGAGGTTAAACAGAAACCACGCGATAAGGCGAACAAAGGAGCCGTTGTTGGCGGAGGCTTCTGAATACGTGGAGCAGATCTCCTCGCGCTACGCGGCACAAAGCCGACCTCGTTTAAATCGTTAAAAACGACCCCGACCCTACGGGGAAATTACAGTTCGTGTAACGTACAGGGACGGAAAACGACATACATTACACTACTTACAGTTCGTATTCGTAGCATTAGATTGGCTGTGTGCTTAATCAAACCCGGACGAGGTTTGACCGAGCTCCGCAGTCTAGCTCCGCGGATCTGCAGCGACCGCCATTGAGGCTGGGCGAAGCTAAGAGAGGAAGCCTGACGTCACGGCGCTGCCTTCGTGACAGTCGGATATAACTCCACTATTGTGAGAATTTTCTCGTTATGCTAATAAAAGTGGTATTGTGCTGCAATGTTAAATCATTTTAGTATATGTGAAATGCAGGGCTACATAAGATACTATGGACCTTAGTAAGTAGCAGTGCATATCTGTGGAAGTAATCGATTATGTAATATTAGATGGTGTTCGCTTTTTCAGTAACATAGTGCGTTTTTACATTACACGTTGAAGTTATGAGCAGTACTTGAACGCAGCAGCAGTCATTAACAACATTTGTTCGTGTGAGATCACGTGACAGCGGCGGATTCAAAATCCAACTCAGTATTTACAGGTTTGTGAATGACATGATAACAGCATAGATAACAATAATACTCTACAGTAAACAAGACTGCCATGAAACCTATAATCACAGTATACTGAAAACAAAGTTCAGCCCAGCCACAAAAACATATAGGCCTATCATTATCCTGTTTATAATAGGATTCCAGTAGAAACAAACATATAAAGAAAGACAGAAATATGCTTGACTGGACTCATGCGTACTCATTAAAATATGTCGAATATTTGGGGCTGACAATAAAAAAATATATTTCTGTAACCGTTTTTGCTAGCTACAAAGAGAGATTAAAACATCCCAAAACAGAGGATGCTCGCAACCCATACAGACTGCGGGCTTTGTTTCTGTTTATGGTTTCACATAATAATCACGAATTGCAAACCAATTCATATATAGACCTGGCCTAGTTTAGAGAACATTCTCTTCAGAAATAAACTCTGGTCGTTGTAATCCCTACGTGTTTACCGCAGTTTAAATCCATGAAAAAATGGTGCTGTTTTCGAGATTGATCCACCGATGTTTTTCCTCCTTGTTTTTGCCTCTGGTGGGTATTAACGCTGTTTTCGGATTACGGCGCGTATTGCATTAATGTTGTTAGTGAGAAAAACCAACGGCTCACTCACTGCGGTTTGCGGCTTTAAAAAGTCCATCTGGCACGGAGTGTTCCCTCGGTTCCCTCGCAACTGATCTCCACGAGCTTCACGCATCTCGAGCGCAAAAGCGTGACGAGATCCAGCTAATGTTCTCGCTTCGATCCCTCATTTACGCTGCGGTTGGTGTCCGGTCTTCTCTCGCTGTGGATGGTGCGAATGGCTGACGGTGTATAAGGGTGGGCGTGCGGCATCACAGCCGCAGCATCAGCATCCGCAGGCAGACCATGTGGGGAGCCATGTGCCTCCTCACGGGCCGGGATGGGCTCTGCGATGCGGAACATGCGCGCACCGAGCGGGATGCGACAGACTCGGGCAGCGGCTGCTCGCAGCAGGACACGTTGAGACAAGACGCGAGATCGTGGTTTATAAAGATGCGTTGTCGCAGATATCAATTATTCGGTTAGATATATAGATATATATTTGTGTCCGTCTGTCTGATAGGCAACCCTGACTGCTCTAAAGCACAGAGCACAGAGGTCAAAGTTCAGCTGTATCCCACTCTTCTGTTGGGGTGAAAAGATAATTCAATCTTCTTGATTGTTTGAGCGAAAACTGAATCAAAAACGAATCTTCCACTTTTGTTATGTGGGTTGTAGTCAGTGCAAAGTCCACTGCAGGACTCCCGTCCCATGAGACAAACAGTTGACATCAAGTCCTTGACTGTGTACGCGTGTTGGGATGAAGTTACTGCTGGTGCCGCGAAAACACACACTGTTGCAAAGCTGTTTGTTTGAGTATCGCTGGCGTGACGTACAAAGTTGTTGTCTAGGTTAATCTGATGGTGGTATGACTCTTACTCCCTCACACAGAAACACACTTTCACCAGCGTCTGAATGTGTCTACGCCCAACTGCCGCATAACTAGGTCACTTTAACACAGCATCCGCTTTTTGTCTCGCCTGTTCTCTTTGTCAGATAGTTTTGGCCTAGAATCCCCATCACTAAATTACACTTTTATGTGTGTACACGTTTAGTTTGTAAATCTTCAAGCCACTTACCAGAGCTGACATTCTCCTGAGACCACCGGAGCAACATGGCACAGAAGTTAGTAGTCCATCCAGGGGAGTTTACACTGTATATCCAACGCTGCTGGCTCGAGCAGCAGACAGGTGCAGAGTGCCGTCCAGTGCCTCCCTGTGTGTGTGTGTGTGTGACGTTTTTGTCAGAGCTTTGCCGATGTGTTATCCTACTCCACGGGCCTTTGGTTGTGAGGTGGAACTCCATGGAGAGTTAATATAGGCCGGGCCGGAGAGGGGAGGAGACTGCTCTGTGTATGGCTTGGCCTGTCAGTGTGTCAGATTCACCAACGTGAGAGTCTGTTGCCACCACCTCTCTCTGGTTTGTTCCTGCTACTTTATTGCTCTTCTCTCTTCTCTCTTTCCTTTTTTTATTTTTCAGATCTGCTCCTGAATTTCAGATCTTCATGTTCTGGTCCACTCTAAGCAGAAAGCCACATAGTCTTTTGTGGCCTGCACTGAAATTATTCCTCTTTCTGGGTGTGACTTTGCTAATCCAGTTTTGGCAATTCGTGATTTCTATCTGTCAGCTTAAATCAAAGGATTACACGCGGTGAGTTGATAATGTTCTGCATTTCTTTGAATTAGGAAAAAGCCTCAAAAATACATTTGAATGAAATGGAAACATGACGGAGCCTGCGATATACAGTATGTCTGCACCAGAAGGCTCTTTCATTTTCACGTGTTTTTCTTGCACTTTTTACTCACAACATCACACGGCGTCTGCCACTCTCCATCTGTGGAACTGGTCCTGCCGGCGAGCTCTCCCTCCTTCCGTCTGGATCTGCATGTCATATGGCTGCGTGTGTCTCAGCAAACTGGCAATGTTTGGACTGTGGAAGGAAATGTGTGTATGTGTTTGGTATTTAAACCAGACTGCTGCGGGGTCTGGACCAGCTCTGTGTGTGTTATCAAAATATCAGAATAGACGTGTGAGGAAATGAAGGCGACGCTGCGCTTTTGGCAGTTTGCATATATTTACCCATTCATGTCTTTCACTTCTAACAGTCTAATTCACAATCTGGGACGCCTGAAGCATAAACCTGTGTTTTGTGTGAATCTACTGTAACACAAAGACTCAATGAGGTTGTTAATTAATCACAACGAATCACTGATTACCCTGAATGAGTTTAGGTAGATACCATTACACAACACAGTCTACAGAAGCACCATTTCCCGCTCCCTAAGACACAAGCTCCCAGAATGATTGATGACCATCAACGCTGTTGTCCATGCGGCGGCCGTCTGCGGTTGCATAAGCGGCTGGCTCACTACACCTGAAGCGAAGGTGCAGAACAGATCACTAGTGGCCACGAGTTTTTGCACCCAGGGTAACTCGAATGGCCGTCTGACCCTCACGGGAGATTGTTATCCACACACACACGCCGCTCATGTCAGCTATCGTGCCACTCGGGTATTTCACAGCGCTGTGAAAGAGGCCTACACAGAGTAAGCGCTGGTGCACATTCCCCGCTGTGATCGGGTCTCCGGTGTTATTGGCAACGTTTCGGGGGTTTTGTGTCAACGTTAAATGCTCATACACTTATTTTTCCCTATACTCGTGTACGATTGCTTCATTTCAGAAACTCCCCGGTGTATTTTGCAGAAAGCTTCCTCCTTGTACCCATTAAGTCGGAGAGAACTGGTTGTTCCATCTGTCCGTTCTTTGTTCAGGACTTTTCTCTCTTCCTGCGTCAGCATCAAGGGCGTCCACACAAGGTAAGTACAAAGAATCTACACACACACACACACACACCTGCACGACAATAACGTCCCCGGTAGAATTTCACTATGTTGTGTGGATGATTTACTCTGCGCGTGGAGGGTCAAAGGAATATTTTTATGTAACACCGGGATTGGCCTTTTTTCCTTCTTTACAGGGGGACACGACAGACTTGATCTCAGTTCTGAACTGAATTAAATGTTGACAGTAGAGGAGAGGATGTCTTCTTCTCAATGTAGCACCCTCAGACATACAGGGCTCTGTTGATGTACGTGTTTGTGTTTTTGGACGTGTGCTGGGTGTACGAACCAGCGCCTCTATGATGTGATTTAAGTTGTTTTGCTCGTTTCTCGCCCACAGACAAATGATAAAACCCACCATCAATTTCCGGGATATTCTGGAATGATTTGGCAATCTGGCAGGGACAATTTGTGTGTTGTGTGTGTGGTGAGTTTGATGTGATTTAATTTGTTTGCATGGGGTCAGAGATAAAACTGGGTGTTTGGTGGTGATGTAAGAGGATCAAAGGCTTTGGATCTGGCGGCTTCTCAACAGGCCTCATACAGAAACCTTTCACCTGCAGGGCCTCATGCGCGTGAAACAGGTTCAGATATCAAATATGTTATCAAAGTCACGGCCCGTGTTTCTCGATTGCAGAGCCCCTGATCGACCTGGTAGAAATCCAGATGTAGCCCCAATTAGGTGTAGGTGCTTCTGTAGCACCACTCTTTAAATGCAACACTGTTATGCATCATCTCCATGGCAGGTATTACCAAGACAAAATAACAAACTTTATTGTTTTGAGCAGGAGTTCAAAAGTAATTGAAATACAACCTGGCAATAAAACCATAAAACAAGGTTAAAGTCAGAAGTTGCCTTGAGTGATTTCTTCGGAAGTAGTTACGGAAAAATCCCAGAAAAGATCAATGCCTGGAAGAGACCATAAACTGATGAATGCAGAGAGAACAAGCTGTCCAAAGCATCAGAACGCAGCGAGAAAGGTAGACAGATAACAGCAGCTATTTAAAATGCTGTGTATAAAGTCTACCATAGATGTGTGGTTGATGTGATTGCAGCACCTCTGCCCTCTCATGTCTTCATACCGTCCACAAGGTCTGATTACTCATAATATTTGGGTTTCAAATAAGATCAAGGATCTGTGTCATCATTATCAGCGCTCAGCTGTCTGAACATATTTTGCAACTTCTGGTGCATGCTGCTGCAGCAATGATGTGTTGTGTCAGTGTCAGATGTGTTTGGCTGCAGATGTGCTGTTTTTTAAAATAGAGTTCTTACATCTGTATGGGCCCGTGTTTATGCATATTCAAGTCGAGGCCATGACGCTGTTAAACATCTAGCCGACCTGTGACTGGATTTTCAACAGTTGCATAACCTTCCTGTTATCTCTCCCCGCAGACAAATTTCCATTTGACTCTCCAGCAGTCCTCCCTCCCTCCCGTCTCCAAAGGCCGCTCGTCCCACGTCGGGGGCACGCCAGCGGTAGGTATGGGATTGATTAGCCTCGTCTCTCAGTGTGTGTCACAGGCCCTCAAACAGCGGAGCCTGATATGATCAGCGTCTCGGCCTCCGTCTCTCTTCAGTTTCCCTTCAGCTAAACTCAGGAGTTTACACGGTTGTTGGTGCATTGATGCGTAGCGACGAGGAGACACAGGCAGCCCGCGGCATTAAGGTTACCGGCACGGCTGTCAGGCCTGTCTTTTAAATGTGGCAGCAGTCAGTGAATAGTGCGGCGGCTGCCTCCTCGGCCTCCCCCGCGTTGCCTCTGTGTGTCTGGATCAATGCAGCACTAGAGCGGCCACAAAGCACACAACGTTCAGTTGTGTCTACAGAGTGGCAGGTCTAATGGGGGGAGCCCGTCTGGCCCATCTCGCCCTGACCCCGAGCTGTCACTGCGTTCTGCCCACCCCTGCGCTCAAATCACAGGACAGGAGGGATTCACAATGCTCTGCTTGGATCGGCTATGCACACATTTCTGGGCTGATATCACTGGCCACCTGCCGAGACAAATCCTTGAAAGACACGCCAGCTTTTGAAAGTCAATATGGCTTCCTCTCCAGGGACCATATGACACATGTCTTGGAATGGGATTTTTCCAGTCACGAGACAAGCAGGCCTGCGTCGGACTATTGATCGACCTGTCCAAAGCATCAATCATTAACCTGTGCTACTATGGTATGGTGTGATGGTGTGGTGTGATAGGACTCAAGTGGAAAAACACACTGCTGTTATTGCAGGTTGGCTGCACTGCATCCGTCCTCACACTGAACTCGGGTTTGTTTTGCAACAACATGTAATCCTGTACCACGGAACGCTACAGCCATCGGACCAACTGAGGAGTGTGTTCATTGGGTCATCTGGAGAAGTGTGTGTGTGTGTGTGTGTGTGCTAATGTGCGTATGTGTTTTCCCAGCTGCACTAGATGCTCCGGAGTACACCCTAGTGTGGGATGATGATTTCATGGATGGGTCACTGCAGTTCAGTTTATCTCTGCTCCTCTGCACTCATGAGGAATGTTTTGCATAATAATGCTTTGCATGATTTAGGAAACAAAATGCAAATAGAATTGGGTTTCTCCTTCGCAACTGTTGGCAAGACTTCTTTGGCGCCCGCCTCTTATTGTGAAGGATTAGATGGAGGTGGAGCAGAGTTCACCCAAATATGTCATTAAAAATGCACCACAATTTAGGACGGAGGGATTGCGTCCTACGCCCATCATTTGATAACAGAGGAGCATCAACCTCTGCTCGGCCCTCCACTTCCCACTGAACCAGATCTCGTTTTGCCTGAATGAACACGCCTCCTGTGATCTCGTAGCCTAAATGCTCCAGTCACTAATTATATATAATAATAAATGGATGGGCGTGTGTTTTTTGATAAATCCAATGCTACAGACAGGTCAAGGGAAAACAAGCCAGGATTGATTTTCGGACACCTTTGTTAAATCCCCACTCAGACACTCAGGAATGTCATGAAAGATCTCATCTAAGTTAAAAAGAAGGCAAATATTTGGCCTCTTCTTCAGTTAAGGATTTGTCTTTTTGATCAAAGCTCCATTAACTCTGTTGAGCAAAGCTATAGTGCTCAGCTGAGGTGATTTAAAGAGAATTAGATATCACTGTTCTTCTCATACGAGGTTGGATCCAGAAGCACGTCAGGTTAGCTTTGCATACACACTAGAAACCAGAGCAGAAAGCTAGCTGTGTCCAAACAAATCCCAACTACATCCTCTGTGGCAGACTAACTGTTGAACTGGCACAGGGACTTTTGGGATTTCAGTCCTCAGCAGAGAATACAGATTTCTTGTGTTGTGTTGATGAAAAACCATAATCCAGCTGGCATTATGTTTCCATCAAAGTGTATTTACAGTTGCAAATTAGCACTACATAAACTTAATTTTCAGGATAAATACAATTGTAATTTGAAAGAGAGTTGATTAACTAATCGCAATCCAATTAAAGAAGATAATGGCGAAATAATGTCTGGTTTTGTTAAATGCACAACTGGTCTTGGTCATGATTGCGCAGCTGAACTCAGTGCTCCTCTTCAACTTCAGAGGGGAGCACACGCAGGCGTTGGGTGATGAGTGGCTGTTTAATGTACAAGTAAGAGTAAGATGATATTCAAAGTCTCAGATGAAGATTACTTGCCACACTTTGAGGTGGGGATGCAAATAGCATAAGATGATGCCTTGAGATGCAGTGTTTCATCACCGTCTCTCTCTCTCTCTGTCTTCTCGTTTCTATTTGTTTCTGAGACCGATGATGTCTCAAGATAACAGGTACATATTCTCTTAATATAATTATGCCATCAAGTTTAAAGGCAGCAATAACTCCCTTTGTGTCTGTTTCAGGCTCGGAGGCTTCGTCGGCAGGCCTGTACTGCTCCTGTGCGCCTTCACTGTTCTCACTGACTGCGCATGAGCAAAGATTACCTCGCTCTAATCCCTTTTGTGAGGGAACATTCAATGAACCGGACAGGCTCATTCATGGGTGCAGCTTTCAGGCAGTAATGTGTCCCATACAAACACATACAATTTGGGGGGCACTCTATTTCATATTGATCTATGCCCATTGAACTGATGTTTCCGTGGCATATTGTGAACAGGAGCCTCGAGAACATCGATGGCCCGAGGGCCCTGAAGTCATACGTGTGCAAAGGCAATCGTTAGCTGACATATTTGCCTTACCAGCTCGAATAAAAAAGCTTGGAAGACACATCTCAATATGCTCCTCATCCGTGACAACACATTTGCAAAAGAAGTGTTTACTTGCACAAAAGTTAAAGCTATTAGTTAATGTTACAGTGTCTTAACCTCACCTTAACGCCATGTGTCTGTGTATGACGCTGGCGCTTTAACCATTTATAATAAAATGTACATATGAATATAACACAAATACGGAGTAAGCAATGTTACAACATGGATCAACGTGCATTAATGTGTGGTCTCCTGATCGTGTGCGTTGTGTAATGAGGCCTCAAGGGCCCAACGGACGAAACGCTGCGAGACAACAGAGACCGAGATGAGCACAGAGGGTCCAAGAGCTCCGCTTTTCCTTCTCCTTCTTCCTCCCTCTAGGTGTGTTGATTTGCTTTCCTCTGGGGGGCTTTACCCGTAGACACACCAGGAGCACCCAGCAGGTCTGTCTGTGCAACCAGGCAGAGCATCTCGCCCATGTAGAGACGGAACAGCCTCCACAATGCTCTCTGGTAGGTCAGCAGCATCTTACTGCATAACACAGGCACACTTCCCAGGCCCTGATGTGCCAACTATCCCACATGTACAGTGTAGATATGGAGATATGGCTTGATGAGTTTAAAAACTGAACTTAATGCAAGGAAGCTGTTGATGTTGGCGTTTTCAGCAGCCGTAACCGCCATAAAAAAGAATATTACGCACCGGCAGCCGTGAGCTGACAGGTGGAGCAGCATTGCATGCGTCAGCACGCACTAAAAGCACACGGTGCCGCAGGCGCTGTGTCAGAAAATCAAGGAGAAGCTAATTCATACTTAAATCTCACCGACTTACTGACTTAACTCGAGCCAGCCAACCTCTTTTTGTGTGGCGTGTGGACGCGGGGATGGAAGCGGCCGTGGGCGATCACACCCATGCACGTAGTACCTGTGACTTCACCCGTAGGTGTGCTGGCCGTCTCCACCTCGGCCTGCCTGGCTTCTGGCCAGTCTCAATATGGGCACGGGAGGATGGTGGATGGAGCGGATGCAGGGTCAGGTGACGCAGCAGAAGAGGAAACTAGCGGCCTAAACATGTGTGCTTCTGCTGTAAAATTAGGCATTTATAACATTTGAACATGGGGGTCTGTGGAATACTTCGGTTTTGGAACAAGCTTCAATTGTCCACGTTACAAAGTTACGGCTCGGTTAAAAAAAAGTGACATTTACAACCGGAATGTGAATTTCAAAGGGGAACATACTGGATGTGGTGTTGAATTTAGCGTGGTTCCTTTATCTCTGCTGACATTTCTAAGAATCATTTTATGATCAAATGCAGGAAACTAATGACTCACTGTCTTATTTTTAGAACAAGATTGAATCTCTTTTCGACCGTATTTGCACTGTAGTAACAAAACATTTCTAAGAATCGTCAACGTCATTGACTTCCACAAAAAGAGTTTCCATTTTGACAGGAAGAATTATTGTTTTATTGGTATAACAACACATTGTACGTCCTGTGATCTTGTTGAATTGAGCAAAACAACAGATATGGTGACTTGGAGCGAGGCACATTTTAAAATTGGCTCATCTGATGTTTTGCATCGAGGAGCCTACAGGTATATGAAAGTATACTGAAATCAATATAAAGGAGAAACACAAATCATTTAGAACAGCGCCAATGAGTGTTTTTTTCATTTCCTGATTTCACTTCATTTGATTTCTTAAACTCCAAGGCAGACAATTAGCTTTCAGTGGTTATTACAGTTTGGTTTGGATGTTGATCCTGTTTAAAGAAGTTAGAAACCAAAGATACGTCTCCAGAACTGTATTCTGTTGTATATTATAGAATTAAATAAAAGGCTGAAATGAACAAACCACAGAACCTGGTAGGATCTAAATGACAACATTTAACATTGTGATGTTAAATTACAGTTACAGATTAATTTCACACACAGGTTTACATAAATGTGGGGATGTTTTATGCTTTTCATAAACTCAACAATTAAGTTCTGCTTCATAAATTTAGAAAAATCCTTTCTTTAAATGATCTAAAACGTCATGGCGGTTTCCCTCACCTAATGAAAGCGTAACCGTTTGGAGATACGTGGTTGTCACGGGACACAGACAACCACAAACACAGGACGTTCACCATGTGTCCAACAGACACTGTCCTTGACATGTGGTAACCTGTATATGTTTTACTGGAGACCTGCTGTAATTCTCCCAGCTTTATCAGACCAACAATAAAAGAACGAGACAAGTGT